TGAAGAGCTAAATGATTGTTGTTGTGGTTGAGAGGATGATGAGTTGAAGGTTTGTTGTTGAGATTGAGAATATGCAAAGTCATAGGTAGGTTGAGAGGATTATGGGTTCATGGTGTGTTGTTGAGAGTGTGAGTAAGAAAAATCGATGTTTGGCTGAGGGATTGGAGAGTATTGCAAGGTTGGTCAAGATGTGGTTTGGTTGATGGGTTGATGTGGTTGAAATGGGTTGGTGGGTTGTTGTGAAGAGGTGGAATAGAATACGTGTTGTTGTGTGGTTTGTGTGTGATGATAAGTTTACTGTTGGAACGATGATATTTGTTGTTGAAAATGTGATGGGTTCGTAGGAGGAATATTATGATGCATAGGCGGCACGCTGGTTTGTTGTGTCGAATATGAGGCATATAGACGGGGGTCATTTAAAAATTATGGTTGAGAAGGAAATATTAAAGGAATATTTCTAAACCAATTAATATATTCCTCGGTATGGATGAAATCTCCATTTAAACGGACCCCGTTCAATACAAAATTTATTATGTTATCCCACTCCTCGTTTTCTTGTTGGTTGACATTACTCCAATGGACACCCCAAGTGGATTGCATTTCGGTGTCGTGTTGTTCCATCTTGGTTGAGAAGGGATTTCTTATTCAAATCCAAACATAAATTTGACACAATCTGATTGATGCATCTCAACATGTAAAAACATATAATTGGAGTCGTCACACTCCACACATGCCTATCAGCACGAACAAATGGGGGATATGAAGGGTATAGCCTCCATAAAAACTGTTATAGAAAATATACGTCTTAGAGTCCAAATACATACCCATTTAATTAAATTGTTTTACTCTGATTACATGACTTACATCGGTCTGAACCATGTGATCAAATGTTTGTCGATATCCGCATTGATAATTAAGGGGATTATCTTCGTATTCCATACCTCTTTGAGCAAACCTTGCATTTTAAAAATAAACACATGTCATAATTTATCTATGTGTATAGAATAATGCGTATAAAATAGTTCAATTATAAATTAAATGTACCAGACGACATCTGGATATTCTGGTACTTGGGGACTAACAGGAGCAATCAACGATATTTTCCAAAATGCCCAAATGTTAAGAAGGAGTACGTAACAACCAATACTTTTTACTCCTTTCTTGGTCGCTTTGCACATACATCTATACAGGTTATCCAATAAAGCAGAACCCCAACTATAATGATTGCATGTTTTCAAATTCCCAACTAAAGGTATCCAACAAGAATGCATTAAGTTTTGACTCTTGTTAGGAAATAAAAAAACTAGAAATAAGAAGTAAAATATAGATTTTGGCATTACGGATGTTTTCTTCTTCGATTGGTGCATCCCGACTTTTAAGATAGCCTAACACCTCATGTAACCATGTTATTTTTACAACATTTTTAACTTTATCTCCACTAGATGGTTCTATAGCCAAATGTTCCACGTAAACACTTATAACACCTCATTGTGCCATCGATGAACTTGTGCAATCCACCTGTTCATATGAAAAATGTATCTTTGGAGGTTTAACCGATTTCAGTTTTTGGCGATTTATGTCCAAACCACATTGGTGTCGACTTAGAGGTGGGTATGGAGTTTGAAAACAAGGAAGCGTGTGTTTCTTATTTACAACACTAGCATTTTACAAATTTTCTTGACTATTGGGCATACAAATCTGATACTACAAAGTATATAATCAAATTTAAAATTCCATCGTGCCCATTCGAGTGTAGAGCTTCTTTTCGTAAGAGGAACATAAAATTGGTGATTGGTAAGCTACATGGACCACACACTTGTATGTTGTCTTCCATGACATAAGACCATGCAAAAAATTTCTTCAAAAGCTGTAAATCAAAGCATCAGGGAACTTGTCAATAGTGACCCTTCACTTTAAGTCAAGGTAATCATCGGCCATGTTGTTGAAAAGTTCGAGTATATCATATCTTACAGGAAAGCGTGGATTGCTAAGGTAAAGACCATAGAATCACTGTATGGAAACTGAGAGACCTCCTACAACGACCTTCCACAATGGTTGTTGATTATGAAAACCTATCTCCCGGGTACGGTTATAGATTTGCAAACACTGCCTGCATTTACGAACGAAGGAACACAATTGGGCGACAGGAGGATCTTCCATCGTCTCTTCTGGGAATTTCAACTGTGCATACGAGGTTTTTCTTTTTGCAAGCCTATTGTACAGGTAGACGGAACATGGTTGTATGGAAAGTATAGAGGGACTTTGTGCACGGCTGTGGCACAAGATTGGAACGGTAACATTTTTCCAATAGCTTTTGTCATAGTTGAAGGTGAGACAAAGGATTGTTGGAGTTTCTTCCTGAGGAATTTGAGAAAACACGTCACACCCCAAGCTAACTTGTGTGTGATATCTGACAGACGTGCATAAATTAAGAGTGCATATGATGATCCTGAAAATGGATGGCAACAACCCCCATCTACACATGTGTACTGCATAAGACACATAGCGCAAAACTTCTTGCGTAAGATCAAAGACAAGGAACTTCGCAAAAAACTTGTCAACATGGGTAAGAGTTTACCTTTATACTTACTACATATAGTTCAAAATATTGGTAAATTTTTCTGAACGTTTATAATACAGGATATGTGTTGACGGAGGTGACTTTTAATTACTATCAAGGCGAAATTCATAGAGAAAATAGAGATGCTCTTAGGTGGATAGACAATATTCCCCGAGAGAAATGGGCAAGGGCTTATGACAGAGGACAACGATGGGGACACATGACAACTAATCTTGCAGAAGCAATGAACTCGGTACTTAAGGAAACTCATAACCTTCCAATCACGGCTTTGGTTCAGTCCACGTACTATCGATTAGGATTATTGTTTGGGAAACGAGGTCATGAGTGGACACAGTTGTTGGCATCTGGTTGAACCTATACAACTAGCTGCATCAAAGGATTGACACAAGAAGTGAATAAGGCTAGCAATCATAATGTCTTTCAACTCGACCGTGAAAGATTCTATTTCATGGTGGCCGAAAGAATTAATCAAAATGATGGTCGACCATTAGGTACTTTCAGTGTTGATCTTAGAAAGCGGATATGCGATTGTGGAAAATTTCAAGCTTTTCACTTGCCTTGCTCTCATGTTATCGCAGCATGTGCTAGTATAAGACAAGACCACACCATTCACACACCAAAGGTGTTCACCATTCTTAATATTTTTAAATTCTACCAGAAAAGCTTCCTTGGACTTCCACATGAGGAAAATTGGCCATAATATGAAGGACTTACACTCTGCCATGACGAGAGTATGCAAAGGAAGAAGAAAGGTCGCCCAAAAAGTACTCGAATTAGGACTGAAATTGACGATGGTGAAAAACAACAGAGAATGTGTGGGATCTGCCGCGAAGTAGGACACATACGTAACAATTGTCCAAATGTAACAGACCCATCTAATAGGAAATAGTGTTTTCATCAATATTTTACCAATGTAACATCATGTCTTTATAATTCCATTTTTCATTTCAAATTAAGAGTGAACAACATCAGGGTGGAACAACAACGAAAAACAACAACAACATAAGGAAATAAAACAAACTGGAAATAACAACACGATAAATAGATAAAACAACTCAACACCTCAACAGATCTAGGCGATTACAACCATCAACACAATTTCGGGTGGTGTTAGCATCATCATAAGGACACAAGCGTCATTATGCACATGTCTCCAAGACGTGTTTTCTTCATTTGGGCCAGACAGCATAACTTTTCTCTCAATTTTCACGAACTTCTCACCATCAACAATCTCTCCGTCTAACCAAGAGTTCAATCTCCTTTGCAAATGCTCCAACGTCTGCGTGTTTCAGAGTAGCATCTTCATTGGAGGCTTTGTTGCTGAATAAATCACATAAGCATCTCTTTTCATGAACGAGAACGTTTGAAGTGGTTCCTCCGGCCCAGAAGAAGGGCATCTTTGTCTCAAGAATTCAGACATTAGTGTGAATTGAATTTTTTGGTGTGAGTAACAATTGAACAAACAACTCTATTTATAGCAAAATAAAAATTAATAAAATATTTCAATATGCGACATTTTCGTACTTTTTTCGCTTCAATAAAATAAAATAATATAACATAACTTTATTAAAAAAATTACTTAAAATATTTTTATATTAAAAATATTAAATATTTAATTTTTATAATCATTTAAATTATTAATTAACATTAAAAGCTTATTTTAATTATTATATGTTAATTAATATAAAAACTGTATTAATTAATACAAAAATTATAAAGGAGAATTTCGAAATTGTGAGGAAATTTAAAAAAAAAAAAACTTTACTAGAGATTAAAAACAAAACTCATTAACATTACAGAGGAATGTTATATATTTAATCCTATTAAAAAATAAAATAAAATTAAACAGTATACTGGATCGTCCAACCTATAGACGAACCTATCAAAGAGAATTTTTTTAACATCTGATTTATCCAACCCTTAAACGAACCGATACTAAATGTGATATTTTAATAAATAATTTTCAAAATGTGACATTATGATATTATTTTTTTCAAACAGTGACAGGTTGGTAAAAAAATCTATTTTTTCTACCAAAGAAAAAAAAACAAAATTTGCGAATTTATTATACCAAAAACTGCAAATGAATTAACAGGACATTAAATTTTGCATACTTTGTTGCACTTTATGTCTCAGTCCCCCCATCCTGTATTTATTGCAAAGTCAAACTAAACAAAGATAGGTAAGCAAGAAAATTGCACACAGATATATATAAACTGATTCCAATGTTTAGTAGAGTAAATGTGATGGGACAAGCATGCAAAAAAGCAGAAAAATTAACATCAATAGTTGAACAAATCTATGTACTGTATTTTATCTTTATAGGATTTTGTTTCCTCAAAAGGAAGCTAGTCCAAATGAAGGGAAGTCACACTGCTATCCTAGATACCTACCACAATCACACACGTAGTACACATAAATGAATGTGTTCAAAAGTAGGTCTGCAGTTCAAGATAAAGTGTCTTAAAGTAAAATGTCATTTTCATTGCCTTTTTTTTGTTGGTATTAGGTAATTCCATTGCTCTAGTTATATTATATAGTTGCAAATACCAGCAGGGGCCACTTATGAAGAAAAACTCATCTAGTGTTGAAGACAAACTAAAAGGTGTCTTTCTCCCTATAATCTCATTATTGTTGTGTCATGCATGTTCTTTTTATGTGATTTGTTTCATGCATGTTTTTATACTTGTGTCTTTTGTTTCTTATGTGCAGTAGCAAGTGAAGTCATGGAAGGAGGTGGCTCAAATAATAGAGATATAGGGCCAAAGTTGTCGCAGTTGGAAGTGTTACAAAAAGTGCATGATGAAAAAAACTCGAGAATTGAAGAGTTGAAGAAACAGATTGAGTCAACAAAGCAGCGTTTGGAAAAGAAAGAGATGACAGGAGACAAAATGGGAAGCTTCAATGCCTTAAGCAACAAGTATAACAGTTTGAGGGAGGAATACAACAAAATGCTAACTGAAAAATCAAGAGAATCAATTTAGTTTTACCTCTAAAATTACTAGTATTTATATTTGTCTCATCGTCTACTTTTAATTGTTACTCTCTCCAATCTCATATATATATAAATAAATGTTTTTATTTCTGATTTATTCAATAACTCATATATTATAAATTAGTTATTAGATTAATTTAAATAATAAATATTTGTTTATATATGTGAGACTATATAGAGTATTATTGCTGGACTGATTAGTAAAGATTATATGTAGTCCGTGCTATATATATATATATATATATATATATATATATATATATATATATATATATATATATATATATATATATATATATATATATATATATATATATATATATATATATATAATCAAAATTCTGAATTTTTTTTTTAAATTTTGTCCATTGATTCCAATCTAATATAATAAGCAGATTGATTTTAGTGGAAGCTCATTTTTTATTAGAATTCGAATACTTGATTTATTTCAAAATTTAAATTCTGTTTAAAGGTGAGTGTATCATCTTTTAACATTAATAACCATAAATCAATAATCATCAACATGATGAATGCATTAAACTAAATTGTCATTATGGAAACAAAAGTGTGTAATTTTGCAATCAAATTTGATGCATGGCAAAAACATTACTAGGAAATATATATGGAAAATATCAAATAATTGCATCCCAAATCCTTATTTGAATTTGAATATAAAAATATAAGGACTAACAAACTAACCCACCCCTACTATTCGATAAACATAAATATACATTAGTTCTAATTGTTAAAACACAAATCTGACAACCTTTTGTAAAAGATGGTCTCAAACATTGTTTTGTAATAAAATTGAAATTAATTTCTATATATTTGCTTCTTCTATGTCAGATTGAATTTTTGGTTAGATTTATAGCTGATTATTGTCAAACATGAGTTTCAATGACTTCTACACTTTACATTTCAGGTCCTTCATAAAAAAATTTAGCCAAATTACTTGAAAAGTATCAAATGTGCCTGAAGCATATTTTGTTTCCTACGATATATTTTGTTTCACATGATGATAATGTATTTAGCGTTCGCTTCTTAATGCACCAAGAGATGGTTGCATTGTACTTATGTGTCACCACACTAGTCAGATTCTAAGTATATCCTAACAATCCTCCATTCTTCTCCTTCTTTATTAGTGGAAAATAACAAGTCAATTCTCATGATTTCCTTTAAACACTTTAGTATTCTTTTTGCATCCACTATATGAGACTTCCTAGGCCTATTCATAAACCTGCTAATGATGCTTACCACATAGCAGATGTCAAATATATTATTGCATAAGCGAGTTTAGAATTTGCTTATATATGGTTTCATGTTTTAGAGATAAAACTCCAGACATAAGAGAGGTGAATTGTACGACATTGAAAATCCATTTTAAAAACGAATCTTTTACAAAAACAAAGTTCAAATGTCTTTTGTAAAACAAACAGAGTAATTGGTTGTGGAAATAATAAAATTAAAAAATAAAAAGTTAAGAGATCAAAGAAATGCACTAGAGATCCTTATAGAGGTCCAATCTTATTAATGTGACATAGTCATCTCTCTAAGAATTCCTTCTTGAGAGTTTCTAATATGATGTGAGATTTATAGAAAAAGAGTGTATAGTAAAAAAGAGGGATCAAAATCTATTTTCTAGATGATTTGAAATGATAGACCGAGCCCTATTTATAGGACAAAGCGCTGTGTAAATTTGGAAATAAATCATGGACTAATTAAGCCTCATAATCGATTATCACAAAAACATAATCTATTATGCCACCCAAAAATGGAAGGTTTTGAAGATGTTAAAGTGCGTGTGTGATTTTCCTTAATAAAATCGAGGGTTTGACTCATACCTTTATATACAATGATCACTCGACACGGGCATGCTAGCTTTCACACTTCATCTCTTTCACAAATCTAATTCTTCTAATTCCTTGCCACATTATCTTTTACTTTAGAACTTATTTGTAACTTTAAATCTTCTTATGATGAGGCTTGAGATAAATTTTCATTGATAAAATCCATCATTAGAAAAATTGCCTCATCATAGATCTTCGTTGACTTCACCAAATGTCGCTTGACATAAGGTGATGTCTCCACACATAGCCATTAATAAATTGAAATCCATTACTTGATCACCACAACTTGATCAAAAACACTTGATCAACACAACTTGATCAAAAACACTTGATCAACACAACTTGATCAACACAACTAGATATTCAATGGTCACTATAACTTAATCTTTTCACCTTAATATTTATGTGCATCCACTTGATCATTACATTAGATGATCTCCAAGTTTCATCTTGATAAACATACCTTGATCAACACATCTTGTGCTTCAATCACCACACATCATCACTTGGTAAACATATAAAGTATCATCACTTGATCAACATGTCAATCACCATCACTTGAGCATCATACCAAGTACCATCACTTAGTTAATTACATATCAAGCACCATCACTTGTAGAGTCTTCAAACACCATCACTTGAATCAATATATCAACGATATTATTTGAACCAACATGCCTTAAACAATAAGACTGGTGAAGATCTTAAGAGCATTGTCAACATCAAAACTAAATCAACATGTATTTGCATTCTTCATACCTGCAAGCACATAGATCCACGTTGTCCCCCTTTTTTTATGATGAAAATGCATCTCTTGGGGAGGTCGACAAACAAAGAAACAATGGTGATAAGATTATGGTGGCTAAAATCCCCTAATAAATACAGAGATTATAGCCTAATATCCCAAAAGGCCTGGGAGATCCAAGTTTCAACGAGCATGTAGGCCATAAAACATTCATTTTCTTATCATCTTTTTTCCGCTCCTTTATAATCTTGTTCAGGAGAGATTTAGTTGGAGTAGTCTCTGGAATTTCAAAATCAAATTCCTCCAACAAAGGTGCCTCTTTCGGCCGGTGAGGAGTAGAATCAAGAGAGGTGGTTTCTTTTGCTTTTCCACTGGTTATGTAGGATATAACTCACGTGTCATTGTCTATTTCCATTTATTATGTGTGTCACTTCCTATCACATGTATTTCTAGTTATTTTCCTCACTTTCAAAGTTTAAGTCAATATGTTCCGAAACATTTGCCACCAACCTTCTGTATCGTAGCCATGTATCCTTAGCCTTGTTGTCAACCATGTGAGCAACAACAATGCTTTCCAAATTTTCCCCTTTATTTTGGCAAATTTTTAGATCGGGACAACCATGGCCCAAGATGATTTCCCAAAATTATTTTTATTTGAAGCAAAGATATGTGAGACCATATAATGAGTAAGAAGAATATTCGAGAATACCACCATTACCAAATGAAATTCTTCAAAGAAGCATATTCATATCACTTTTGAAACTCTCAATCTTTGGGAAAAAGTATCAACCAAGTAATAAAATTTGAAAATTATTCTTCTGTCAAAATATCGGTCGAACCAAATCTCTTACTCTTGAAAGGAAAATAATTATGAGAAGTAACTAGTATTTGAATAACTTCTAGAGGTTCTCATTCTCTTCGGATCCATTAAGGATGACACTGATAATTAAAATATAGAAAGCATACATAATAATACAGGAGAAGAAAATTTTAAGAGAAAGATGTAAAACAAAAAAGAAGGGCATACATATTTATATTCATTATGTTGTGAAAACAATGTCTTGGAAACAAAGTATAAATTGTTTCTTTATGATAAAGAAACACCCAAGAGTAAGAAAAAAGATGAAAAAATAAGAAGAACCCAAGGAATTGATTATAATTGCTATTATTTACTTTTTATTTAAACAAGATTACAAGTGTTACAAGAATAACAAATAACCTCTCTCACCCTAAATTAGGATTTACAGTGTTGCAATGATGAGAGACTGGTATGTTATTTATAATAAACCTAGCATACTAAACTAATGAGATTTTTAAAAAATATCCATTACAAGCTAACTTAGGGTACAAACTAACTTAAACAATTGGACATAGAAAACATGCCCAATTCGACATGCTAAGAACCCTAGCATTTTCGACAACTGCTTGCTTGACTATACTTCGACTACAACATACACTACTTCGATACTAACATGTGAGCAAACTTCGGAGACATGCTCAAACCCTGTCCAACTATAAGCTACTCTTCGACCCAATAGAGTTCGATCCAACTCTCACAAATCTCCACCTTGGAACAAACTCTAATATCAAAGAACAAACTAGCTCTTTTCATGCAGCTTTATCAACTGCATACATTGGAAAAACTTGCAATTGGGCAATGTCTTAGTGATCATATCAGCAACATTGTGATCTGGCGAAACCTTCAGCACTTTGACTTCTCCATGCTCGATTACCCCTCTAACGAAATGCAGCCTCACATCAATATGCTTGATTCGCTCGTGATAGGCTTAATTCTTCGAAAAGTGTATTGCATTTTGACTATCACATTTAACAGTGATAACTTGACCTTGAAGTTTCATATCCTTAGCAAAACCTTCAAGCCATAATACTTCTTTCACAGCTTCAGTGAGGGCAATATATTCTACTTCAATGGTTGATAAGGAAACAACCTTCTGAAGTGTTACTTTCCAACTGATTGTTGTGCCAAACATAGTGAAAGCATATCCAGAAATATATTTTCTGGAATCCATACAACCTGCATAATCAGAGTCGACATATCCTTCAATAATGATTTACGTTCTTCACCTAAGGCTCCACCATAAATTAGGACTCTATTCAGAGACCCATTTATGTACCTCAAAATCCACTTCAATGTTTGCTAATGAGCCTTTCCAGGATTCACCATATACCTGCTTACAAGACTTACTACATATGATATGTCGGGTCTAGTACAGACCATATCATACATCAAAGAACCTACTATATTAGCATATGGGGTGCTATTCATATAAGCTATTTCGACATCAGTATCAGGACACTGATTGATACCTAACTTGAATTAAGGATTTGTCGGAGTCACAACATGATTTGAATTTGACATACCAAACTTGTCAAGAATCTTTCGTAGGTATGCCTCTTGAGATAAGCATAATTTTGACTGCTTTTTATCTGCTTTTTATCATATTTTAATTAGCTAACAGTTTGAACCTTTTCTCCATAATAAACTTTAGGGATATAAGCGGATCAGAAAAACCAATCAAACCGATAATCCAAACAAAATTAAATTAAAATAAAATCGATTGTTTCTGGTTCGGTTCTAAAACTGAACCAAACTAATGAAAATCAATGTGGTTTGATTTGGTTCTCGATTTTATAGTTTTAGGAACCACCAAACCGATGAACCGAACAAATAGATATAATTAGCTTTTAAATAATTTATTTCACCCATCAATAAGCCAAAATTTTCTATGAGTCCAACAATTTTTCATCTTTGTTTATGCTTTCTTCCTTTCAGCAAAACACGCATATAGAACCAAACTTAAAAACATAGAAAATAGAAACCATAAGTCACAAAATTTTGCTTTTAATGAACGGTTGCACTCACTGTTCGCCACTTTTTGTTATTATTTACTGTTGTTCTCATATATTATGATTTCCTTTTTCTTGTGCAAATTCTCTTTGTTAATTTTCAATTGTTTTTAGCTTTTTTGTTTCTTTTTCTTCAACAAAATTCCTTCTAGTCTTGTTAAATAGTTGTGATGTGAGTTTGAGGTGGGAAACATGTTAATTGATGTGTGTTTTATTGTGCAATACTATCTTTTATTGTGCAATACTGATCAAGCAATTTTGCAAGCCCTAAGAGGCTCTAACATAGAGCTTGTTATTGGCGTCCGTAACGAAGAGATTCAGTCGATCGCGAATAATGTTTTGTCTGCTGTTGATTGGATCCAAAACAATATACTGAAATATTCTAAAGATGTCAAATTTAGATACATTATTGTTGGCAATGAAGTAGATTCTAATCTCAACTATGTCTCAAAATTCGTTCTCGAAGCCATGCAGAACATTTATGCAATACTTGCATCTTCAAGTCTTCAAAATCAAATCAAAGTTTCAACCGCTATAGAATTGAACTTATTGGGAATGTCCTATCCTCCATCTTTAGGTGAATTTGGTCCTTCTTCGATTCCGTATATAACTCTAATAGTTAAATTTCTTGAGGATATCAAGGCACCACTTCTTGCAAATGTATACACTTATTTAAGCTATATAAGTGACTCAACTGATATTGACTTACCCTTTGCTTTATTCACTTCACAAAGTGTTAAGATAAGAAATGGAAATTTTGAGTACCAAAACCTATTTGATGCAACATTAGGAGCAATTTATGTAGCACTTGGGAAAGTTGGTGGTGCAAACTTGGAAGTAGTGATATCAGAAAGTGGATGGCCTTCTAATGGTGGGGTTGCTGCAACAGCTGAGATGCACAAACCTACTATGAGAATTTGATTAAGCATGTTTCTAAAGGGACTCCTGCTAGACCTAATCAACCAATAGAGACTTATTTATTTTCCATGTTTGATGAAAATAAAAAAGGACCAAATTAAATTGAAAGACACTTTGGTTTGTTTAGTCCTAATAAACAGATCAAATATCAAATTAGTCAATTACTTAAGTCATTTACTTCTGGAAGTTCCTCTTCTCATATGTGGAGTGAAGGAGTAATACTATGTTTCTTTTTATTATTTCTTAACTATATTTAGTAATTATATTGTGATGTTGTAGTATGTATTTTAGCATATCTCTTGATCTAGCATTTATTTCTTAACAAAATTAAGGCTTATATGTATTTTTTTTGTTTTTTATTTAAAATAAAATTTCGATTTCTCCAATTTAAAAATGCTTTTTTGTGCTAGTTTGTTAGTCATTAAACATGCTTTTCTAGGTTATTAGTGGTTTAACTAATTAGTTGACAAGTTAGTTAATTAGGTTGGTTGAAACCTTTGCTTAATCAACAAGTCTTGCATAAGATGTTGTAACCTCAATTCAATTCAAGAGTCACAACAAGAGGTTGATATAAGAGATTTAGTTTTGATATAAGGGAAACATGAGAGATTTACGAGGGGTTATTAGATTAGAAGTGCAGTGAAGTGTGTCAATTTAGAGTTCTTGCTTGTCAGTTATAAATATAAATGGTAGATTTCACTACTATGAATAATATATTTTATGAGAGAACTTTTTTCGCACTTAATAAAAAATTGAGGTTTAAACTATAGACGCATCACATTTTAATTTTTATATATTTAAAAATACCATATATTCTCTCGATTGAGCTGACAACCGAGGGATATAGTATTTAGAGAACATGCATTTAATCCCAACAACTACATTTAACATCTTTTAATTTTTTTAGAATTTTTTTGACTTATTATCCTTGTTTTGCTGAAAACTGAAGGAGTAAATTATTTAGAGGACACATCTTCGAATTCTAACAACAATATTTTTATCACTTTTAAATTTTTTTAAATTTATTTTATGATCTATTACTCTGGTTTTGCTGAAAATTGAGGAGTAAAGTAGCTAGAGGACACATTTTCGAATCACAACAACTAGACTTTATCGCCTTTTAATTTATTTTAATTTTCTTATGATCTATTACCTCAGTTTTGCTTAAATCCGAGGGATAAAGTAGTATATTTTATTTATTTTATTTTTTATATAAAACTAATTTGATGAAAAATTAAGTAACAAATATTTACCGTCCATTTATAAAGTAACAATTGTCAAGATATTGTCAACTCATCAATCCACATTAAACATTAGTGATCTGCGTGAAATTATCACTAGTCAATCAAAATGTGAATGCCAAAACTATCCATCTTAGATGCGAAGTGCTAAAATTTAAACTTAGCATATTAAAAACAATGATAATAAAAGTAAGAGCAAGACAATATTTTAAGGTTGATTTCTTAATGTAACCTTTTCTCTAGTAATTCCTTGTTAAAAATGTTTAATGTTAGTTAGAAAAGTATGAAAACATGGAACTAACAGATTCTATTGATTTTGTTTTTGTTGTTGTTATTGGTGTTGTTGTTGATGGTGATGAGGAAGATTTAGAATTTATCAACAAATTTGATGCTTTGCAGATTAAAACGAAGAAAAAAAATAGGTTACAACTAAAATTTTGTAAACAAGACGTTACCCCTCGGTTTTTGTTAAAAAAAGAGATAAGAAGTAGCATAGTTTTAAAAATCAAAAAAATGCAGTTGTTGGAGATCAAACTCATGATCAGAGCCACTCTTCCCATTGGTTATTCAAAAATCGAGGGGTAAAGTGACAAGTTTTCATGTCATCCTTTGTTACCTCGCTTGTGTAACCGAAGTTATATCTCTTTCGTGTCCGAGGTAAAATGGGATTATTTATAGATGTGTTTCCATCTAACATCTTGGTTTTTAATAGAAGTATTTGGAAAAAGATGAAGTGTTTTGATGAAATCACTTTTTAAAGCTCTTGAAGTGATGCATAATGACTATGAAGAAGTGGGAGAAAAACTTAAAAATGCACAAAGGGACACATTCAAAAATTTAAACAAGAAGGATTTCAAAGTTTTGTTCTACGTTCAATAAAATATATATGCTCATCATTTTGAAAAGACCTCAAAGGTGACAAGATCAAAAGATGCATGGCATATTCTAGAGAAGTACCATGATGATGGATAAAATGTGAAACTTCAATCTTTATGGAGAAATTTTGTGCATATGCAAATGGAAGAAGACCAAAAGACAAATGATTACTTCTTTAAGTTGATTGTACCGATGAATAAAATGAAGATTTATGGTGAGGCTATGTGATGGGATATTTGACTTCAACATTTGACTTCAAAGAGTGACAAATAAAAATAAAGTTTCAAGATTGAAGTTATGGTTAATGAGAAAGTTGAATTATAAAAGTGGAATGATGCTTTGGCACCAATAAATCAAAGAAGAAGAATAAGTTTGATAAAAGAAAAGTGCATTGCTACAATTGTGAAAAGTACGAAAATTTGGCTAATGAATATTGGCATAAGAAAGAAGTCAAGAAAAATTAAAAGAGTGATGAAGAGGTACACATAGCCCGTGATGATGACTATGATTCATAAACAGTCTTATTGATGGCCACAACTTATAAAGGAAACCTTATGTCTGAGTTGTGAGACTTTGAATCGCGATGTTCTAATCACATGATTGGACATAAAGAATGGATCACAAACTTTTATGCATGTAAAAGAACCAATGTAACATTAATTACCATGCAATTGAAGGCATATGTGGCATTGTTACCAAAAGAAATGATGTAAATAATTCACTTATGGAAAAGGTACTATATTTTCTTGGCATGATATGCAATTTAATGAGCATTATACAAATGGTTGAGAAGGAGTTCTCAGTTACCATGAATGGAAATTCAATGCAACCTTTTTATCCTCACAAGAAGTTGGTATGAAGGCCATATTGACAAATAACAAGACATTCAAATGCAACATTCAAACTACAAAGAAGGTGTGTTTTTCAAGAACTGCTTACGATGATCCTGAATGGCTTTGTGTGATCGGTGGATCTGGAACTGACTGTTTAACGCTGGTTCGCGAAATGTCGCGGTAAGCAAGAGTCGCCACCGTCTTTTATTTTCTCCAAATGGAAAGGACAAAAGCACAGAAAAATTCCTTAAAGAGATTGCTCTCGGTTCGGGAGGTAGGTTATAGAAAGGGAAGGTGTTAGCACCCTTTCTATCCATGGTTATCCATGGGCTCTTAGATACTTGCTCATTTGTGTTTTCAAAAATAGTTTGTTTGCTTTTCAGCTGTGGGTTTTAAAAAAAGTTTCTTTGAAAGTTCCAGTTCGACTCTTGTATCGGTCCTCAAGAGTGTTTGAAAAATTGCTTTCGAAAGCTTTTTGAAAAGGTGTCGGTGTGAAAAGTATTTTTAATTTGTTTTGTTTTGAATTTAGAGTAAGTATCTAGAGTCGTCTACCTACCCTAAGGAATTCGTCTGTGTAGATGTCCTTTAAAGTAGTGCCATCCCACCATTGAGAGGTAGGTAGCACCACCGTTGGAGGTGTTCGGGTCAATTCGAGGTTCGGGACATGGTGATCACCAGAGCAATGGGAAGACACCTTAGAAGCTACCTCATGCCAGGTTCCCGGATCATGAGGACTTACTAAGGCATCCTCTACTCGACGATCACCTTTCGAGGCAAGGCAACAGTGAGGCGTACCCTAGGGGTGGTGTGTGATTTGTGTGTCATGTTCATTTGCATTTATCTTGTCATGTTATTGGTGTTCTACGCTTTCTTTTTATTTTGTCCATTCATTCTTGCATGCTTTGTTTAACAGTTAAAAGTTGCGGAAAAGTAAATTCTAAGCTATTACAAATGGCGCGGGTCCACATCGCCAAAATTAACCAGGACCCGATTTGACGGAAAATAAAGAAATTAAAAGTGCGAGAAGTAATTACAAGGCTTCGGGAGAGGTACATAATTATTTAAGCGAAATAAAATAAATATGCGAAATAACGAGAATTAAACGAAACGAGGGCGTCGGACCCTTTTGCAAAATATTAAAATTAATGAGGAATTAAAATTAAAATTAAAAGAAAGCAAGGATTTGTTTTTTGATGTTTTTTTGGTGTTTTATGATTTAATATAGAAAGAGAATTAATTAAAATTAAAATAAGACGCAAACCCTAATTCTAATGGCTTTTAATTTATTTAAGAAAACATTAAATTTAACCTAAATTAAACCTAATTTTTTTTATATACAATTTTAATTATGAAAATAAATAAAATAAATAATATTATTGTGAAAAAGAAAAATTAAAAGGAATAAAACATTTATTAAACCTAATTCTATGTTTTCTTGATTTTTGTTATGAAAGGAATTAAAATTAACCCTAACTTAAACTATTTAATTTACATGCATTTTTTACAAGAAATGTTAAAATAACAATATTTATTATATTTTTTATCTTTTCTGATTTTTTATGATATTTTATATTTTACAAAAAAAAACAATTAATTAATTTAAACAAATAATAATTAAAAGTAAAAGATTTAAATAAATAAAGAAAATAAAAAGAGAAAGAAAAATTTGCAAACCAGGGGGGTGGTAGTCCCCAAAGTGGAGGTCTGGCCTTAGTAATCTGGGCCCAATAACTTTCCAATTCGTTGACTTTTTCAGACAACCTGCTGGCATATTGACTAGGGTTTAGAGTGTCCCTTCAATCTCAACCCTTGGTTTGATTCCATTAGGCACGTGGGCGATCTGATCTGGAGGATGTATGGTGCGCTCCACCTTTGAAACTGCACAGGAATATGCATTGCAAAATAATATGGAAATTAACGTAGACCTGGGACTCGAACCCAGGTCATATGCATTACCAACGTTCACACCTTGCCACTGGACCACTATCACGCGTTTTGATATATAATAAACAAACAAATAATATAAAAGAAAGTGGGTTGATGGCTTGGAAAC